TGTGTATGCACATGTTCACATGTGTATGCATCATGTTCACATGTGTATGCATCATGTTCACATGTGTATGAAACATGTTCACATGTATGGAGTCACAGATGTGAAATAATAAAGCGGTGGTTAAAATTTATCTTTAAATAAAACATTTTGTTGTTGATGCACACGACCTGCTGCCATTTCAGGTTTAATTCCAAACAAAGCCCTGCAGCCGCACAGCTCTGTGACACAAATTAAATGTTTATAATAATCATAAATCTTATAATCCAGATGAAAAATAACAAACATGTGATGGATGCTGTTTTTGTTTATTTCTCTGTTTGAAGTTTGATTTCTTTAGGTTTTATCTGCAGCGTAGTTTGCAGGTAAAGTTCTGTGAGAAATAAAATAAAAAGTTAGGATTATTTAACTTTGAGAGTGATGTAATCTGTAAATCTGTCACTGGCTCATCACAGACATCTCCTAACAAAGAGCCAAGGTTGAGTTTTCGAGCCGGCTGCGACTTCAAACATCTAAATAAATTCTGTCGACCAAAGATTAAATTTAAATTATATGCTGGATTTTCTTTTTGACCAAAAGTCTCACTCAGCAGGCTTTATATAAAAAATATGTTTATTTTGGTTAGCCTTGTGTTTAAAACAACTTATTTATCCTCGTATTTGCATATTTATTTATTTATTTATTTATTTATTTATTTATTTATTTATTTATTTATTTATTTTTCTGAGGTGGTAACTCTGTGATATAGCGCCACCTCATGGCAGACAGCTGTGCAGCAGAGACAACATGGAGCCTGATGTTTGAGGTGTTTCAGAAGATGAACTCTTTCTGGGCTCTTTTCATCCTCCTGGTGTGTGAGGCCAGCTGTGTTTCTTTAGTTGTGACGCAGCAGAAAGGACAGCCAGATGTTGTCTGACATCACAAACTCACAACAAACAGACCCAGGCGGCTCTGAAAGCAACCAGATGGAGACAAAAGTTGTTGCTCTGACCGTTTCTACACTCTGATCTGATGGAGTGATCTGGATCAGATGCAGCCGAAATCTCACCAGAGGTAGAATTTTAAAAGACTTTAGAGTGAAAACATCAAAAATCTTGGGACCTATATTTGTGTTTTGACTCAGGAGTCGTTTTTTTTTTTTTTTTTTTCGTTTAATGTCAAAATTTTCTCTTGATTAGTTTATGTTGAAGTCTTAAATTTGCTCCCAATAAATTCAGTTTTCATTTCTGAAAAGAACAGTTTCCAACCCATCAATCTGTGATGCTGCTCAGTGAAGATATTATAGGATTTCTTATGTTAGTTTTTATTCTTGTTTTGATTCTGTTTAATTTTTTATTTTTTCTCAAATATGGAGATTGTTCAAGTTTAAGTTGTTGAGAATTTGAAGTCGTTTTTTAAATAAGAGGCAGAAATAAGATTTTTCTTCTTCTTTCTGCACCCATTTCTATTC